TTGCATTTGCTGATCTGCTGACCCACTGAAACCTGACTGACATATTCCTTGTCAGCCATTTAACTTTCTTTAACAGATCCCTGTAGCCCCAACAAGCTGTCTCTGGAYTTGTCAACCAGCCCACTACTACCTTGGAATCCCCTTCTACTATCAAATTATTCACTCCAAGTTGACTGACCATCTGTATACCTTGTACCGYTGCTAGTATCTCTGCCCTTACAGAATCACCAACACCCACTGGTCCTGAAAATAAAGGCAACATGTTGCTATCTTTGTCTCTCAGAATCCCTTCTATTCCAGATGGCCCTCGGTTACCTTGGCAGCTACCATCAAAATTCAGTTTTACCTCTCCATCCGGTGGGGATTCCCATTCAGCTTGTGATTTGTTCTTTGTGGAGACTGKAGAAGCCACWGYTGCCCAGTTTCTCCTTAAGTCATCAAAGGAGTAATCTGCCAACAAGTGTGAAGATTTTAGCCATGAGACTGTCCTTGCATTATGCATTCCTTAATTTCAGCAAGACTTTTTTCCTTTTCTTGAAATATTCTAGCATTTCTCTCCTCCCATAAAGTCCACAAGGTAGTGGCTCTGATACATTTCCACATTAGCTTCCCTCTTTTTGTCAATCTCCCAAAGGCAGCTGGAATGAACAACAGCTTAACTTCGGAGGGCAAGTTCCACCTGCACCCAAATAGTGCAACAATGCAGTTCCAAATATTGGCAGCAAAAGAGTACGATATCAGTAAATGGTTACAGTCCTCACCCTTCACTTTACACAAGAAGCATCAATTTGGGGACAAACACAAGTAAGGTATCTTCTTTTGCAAGTTTTCCACCGTATTGATCTTACCCAAGTAGGCTACCCAACATAACACTGCTATTTTAGGAGGAATTGGCCTTGACCAGACCTCTTTAACAAGGAACACCTAAGGGGAGGGATTGGAGCAGAGGGCTTTAAAGAAAGAAGCACAAGTGAAGGAGCCAACCGAGGTTAGAGACCAAAYCCTTTTATCTAGGTTAGGGGGGTCTAGGCACACTGAGTCTAGAAGCAACAAGAGCTTTGAAACACAAAGAAGTTCTTCATCCCTTAACCCTCTTCGAAACCCAAAATTCCAGTTTAAATCCAAAGGGCGAACCAGGGGGGAAAGAAACCATGAAATTGGTTTCTTTTTAAAGAGGGAGATGAAATAGAGAGAAGGAAAGTGGTGTTTTAGGGGTTGAGTGCTCACCTAAATATCTTCCCAAAAAAGAATGGAGTTTCCAGAACAAGCATCATACCTTACAAATATGAGGAACTTTGGGAGAATGCCATAAATAGCCTTCCAAGGTGTTGTGAGCAAAGCCCTTCGGGATACCTCCGTGTTCCAACCTGATTCAGAACAACCATGGATACTCTTCACTACTTCATGCCACAACCTCTCCCTCTCCAAGGGCCTCCTCCAAAGCCACTTTACCTAAAAGAGCTTCATTCTTACTCACCACATTCCCCAAGTCTAGGCCTCCTTTTTGCTTCTACTCACCACCTCCCACCTAATCAAGTGATCTTTTTTCTCTTCCCCATGTTCCCATAAGAAGTCCCTCATCAGTTTTTCCAACCTCTTTGCCTCTCTTTTAGGAATTCTAAAGACTGATAGGAAGTATAAAGGCAAGTTGGCTAAAGTTGCTTTAATCAAAGTAACTCTACCCCCTAGGGAAATATATTTTTTCTTCCAAGTTGTCAATCTTTTTTCGAACTTTTCCACCACCAGGTTCCAGAACCTACTTTTCTTTGGATTTGCCCCTAAGGGAAGTCCTAGGTAGGATAGAGGCCACTGAGACCATGTGCAATCTAACGAGGCTGCTATAAACTCCATCTCCTCTCTACTCAAATTTATTCCCACAACACAACTTTTCTCAAAATTTATCTTCAAATTTGAGGCCCTCTCAAAGTGAATTATCAAATCCTTCAGATTTCTTACCTTCGCAACCTTCACAAAAGATTATTATGTCGTCTGCAAACTAAAGATGGGTTACTGAAACTCTATCTCTACCTATTCTCCACCCTCTTAAGGATCCAGCCCTATCCGCTTCTGAGAGAAGTCTACTAAAAGCATCAACAACTAAAGTGAATAGGAAAGGTGACATGGGGTCACCTTGTCTCAGACCCCTGCTAGCTGGGAAGAAACCGTTAATTACCCCATTGACTAGGATGGAGTAATAGCAAGAGGAAAGGCAACCGTTTATCCATTTGCACCATCTATCCCCAAACCCACACTTTCTTAGCATGAGTAATAAGAATCCCCAATCCACTAGGTCATAAGCCTTTTCAAGATCTAGTTTACAAACATAACCTTTACGACCCGATCTCCTCATCTCCTCCACACATTTATTTGCTATTAGGATCTGATCTACTATTTGTCTCCCCTGAACAAAAGCTCCTTGGGCTTGGCTGATAAGACAAGGAAGCACCTTTTTAATCCTCAAAGATAAGACCTTAGCCACAATCCTGTATACACTAGTCACCAAACTAATAGGTCGAAAGTCATTTGGATGCTTGGCCTCTTTCTTCTTGGGAATTAAGGCTAAAAAAGTAGCGTTAACTCCATGACTAATAGGAAAAGTACAACCAGAGGCTGTACAATTAAGGAACAAAGATAGCACTCAAACTACAAAACCATTGGGAGATACAAACAGGCTTTTAAAGTCAAAAAGAGAACTGTAAAAAGAACTGTCAACTTTTAGCTGAATCGAAGACCAGGGAAACAGCTTCCCCACAATCTTCTGCCACATTTCCTCTTCTTGACAGCTTTTGTTTTGAAATATCCTTGAGTTTCTTTCTTGCCATATCGGCCATAACACAGCACCTGGAATCAGATACCATAGAACTTTCCCTTTCTTGCTTAGACCTTGTACCCTCCAGTTGTTGACAAAATCAGCCATTGATTCTGGGCAGCAACTTCTGATTGCAAAAATTCTGAGAGTCCTCACCCATATTTTGTGAGTGAAGCTGCAATGCATATCCTTTTATCTTCATCCACTTTTAACTTTCTCTGATCCATAACATCAATATACTTACCAAGCAGCTATAAGCGCTGTTTTTCAATAGGCTATAAACTACACCTAACACCATGCTAAATTATTAAGTTGAAACTTTGGACAGCTACTAGGGAAAAAGCTCCCCAGCATGGACACTTCCTTGATACCTGTACAAGGATATTTCTATTTTTAGTGTAAATTATGTGTCTGATACCATGTCCAGCTGTTTCCTTGCTACGTCCAGGTAACACATGCGTGTGCATGTTGGGTTTTATGGTCATCAGTTTCAAATCCTATTGGAATTCATAATGTTGTTTTCATGTCTGACTCTGTTCTTATTGGAATGTGTTATATGCATATGTAGAGGTACATTTCTGTGAAGACAGATGCTAGCCTCACAATTCTGGTCATCAGGGGCCTTTAGATAACCAACATGATCCCTTCTATTTGTGAAAAAATTTCTGGTTGTGTTTTGTACTTTTGAATTGTGATTTTACATCTCTGTTACACAAGGCACCTGATGCTAGTGTCATTCTTCTGTAAAACATAACACATATTCTGTAATAACATTTGATGGTTCTAGTTGTCTGGATTTTTTAGCTTGCAGACCTGCATATATGCACTTTTCTGCTGAATCCTTTTACAAGTTGGTGCATGCATCCCTTCTTATAGTCATTGACCTTATTAACAGGAAGAAATTAGGAATGTTATATCTGCATTGGAGACAGATCTGGTTAATGAAAGTGAGAGGTCTACCAATGCACTCATTCAAGTTGAGAAATATACAGAAGCAAGGAGGGAAATGGACAGGAAACTAGACACACAGTATCAACGCAAAATGTAAGATCTCTTTATTCTGCTTCTCTTTCAATGTCTTTATCCTTTAAAGTTGGTATACTTCTTTGAAAATCAGGTTATGGAAAACCTATCTACATTAGTATAAATGACCAAGTTCAAGTCTCTTAACTCACATTTCTTTAAAATGTGTGTAATAAAGCAATATATACATTAAAGAGGCACAAATAAATGCAAATAAAGAGATGGGTTAATGGCAACAAGGCAATACACATAAATAAGAGGTCTTGGGTTCAAGTCTTTTCATTACCATCTTGAAGTTTCTATTCATCTCGTGATCCGGGTGGTTTCATAAAATTGGGACCAGTTCACCGGTTTCTTTGTTAAATTGGCCGGTCATCTGGTTTTGGCCAGTTTTTCATGAATAATTGTTTTTAGGATTTGACCAAGGCTCAAAGTATCCATATGATATGCCCCATATCAGGTGTGTTGTATTGTATTGGCAGGTGGCCGATACGGCTTTTCTAAGGTATTTTGAGAAAAACCCTTTTTTAATAGTTAAATAGCATGAAAGGGGCATCCTCTATAATTTTGACAAAGAAACTAAAAAAATGATGTGTGAGGTTCAAAGTACCCAAACACCCTTTCCAATGTTATCGGGGTGTATTGATACTTTGAACCATGGGCATGACTGAACCGGCCAGTGGCCTGGGTAACTGTGCAACTAGTCCAATCGGCTTGTCCAGTTTGCTTCTCTAAACAATGGCCTTAACTACTGCATACCTAATTACCTATAACACAAATAATTTTATTTTTAGGAAAATAGATGCTATTATTATATTACACAAAGCTATGAGTATATAACATAGAATATATTGGTAAACTCTAACTTTGTAATCTGTCACATAAATGGGATTGTGAACATTCAACTCCTTATTGAAAAAAAAGAAAGATCGGGAAGGAAAGAGAGTGACATTTTGATGTAGGATCTTATGGCAATTTGGGTCCCTCAGGCATAGATGGAATAATAAGAGATAGGGAAGGAAAGATAGTGGCATTATTTTCTAGGCCTGTAGGGGTGGGTGACTCTCTAGAGCTGAAATTTTAACACTTGTTCAGTGGCTGAGATTGGCAAAACAGTTAGGCTTTCGGAATATGGAAGTGGGGGGTGACTCGAAGGTGTTAGAGTGCTTACAAGCAAGCAGTTTGGGGATATGGATTCACAGGCAGACTTTGAGAGAAATTAGAAGACTTACAAGAGTGGTTGGTGTCTCTATTAAGTGGGTGAGGAGGACTGCAAATAGTTTGGCTGACACTCTAGCCAAACAAGGGATCAACAGGGGAAGATTTATTCTGGGCTGAGTTGTAGTTCTTATCATAGTTCAGGTTCTCTAATTCCATGGCTGGAACCAGTGTACCTTTTATTAAGTTCTAATCAAAGTTACTGCTTCCTATAAAAAGAAGTAAAATTAACTTCTCATAAAAATAAAGTTGAACTGATGAGTAAACTATCCTCTTTTATCTTTAATGGTAAAGTCAATTAGTTGGGGATATCGAACTAGAACCAAATGTAGAACTAGACATGAAACTTTCCATAGCAAGATGAAAATAATGATTAACTGCTTACAAGGAAATGCTGAAATGGTTAGGACATACATGAAAGTAAGTTTGACCATTGTAGGAATTGGTGGTAAATTATGCCCTTATCAAGGGAATTGATGATAGACTAAGTGAATGCAACATCAATTGTTTGCTAAATGATGCAGATGATTAGAAATCCTTGTCATAATATGGTAAGAAGAAACTAAAGAAAATGATGAAAAAGTCCTAGAGGTTGGCCGGACAGCCAACTTCAGCTGGCCAATTTGAACAAGCTAGAGTGCTCCAAATTTGAAGTTTTAGAATGATGAAATACTCTTTAGGTACTAAATTTCATGCCAAACAGATTCCTAGATGGTCTGTTTAAAGAGGCATCTTCAAAGCTGATTTTCTACACCTGTCAGAGCTGGTCAAGGCCAAAGCCAATTGTTTCATGAGTGGGCACCACATCTTGAATCACCCTAAGATAGTCTTTATAGTTCAATATTAATGTCAGTTGTGCATGTGGTTAGTGAGTTATAGTAGCTCTTTTAGTTATGGAAAAAATAATGTCATTTTGTGCTTTTCTTTGTTTATTCAACATAAGAGTATTCTTGAGTAAATTTGATAAAACTTGATGGGTTCATAACTTGATTGACCTTGTTAAGGTGAATGTAGTACATTGGGCATTGTCATGTGATGAATTTAGAGGCATAACCAAGGATGATGTATCAAGAGGGTGACAAATTGTAACAAGATTCTCTATTAGAAGACGGGAAAGGGGTGCTGAATGGCTAACACTGGAGCCTGGGAAAGAAATTATATTTTGATGGGTGCTGTTTGGGTGAGCCAAAGTGGACACTTTGTGTTAAAAAAATGCCGAAAGTTGCTTCCATATCCAGTCTACCCCTCTCAAGACCCCAGATATCTGGGACCGACATTTTGTAATGACCTTTGGCTGTTTGGGTAATCCAAGGATATCTGGTATTGGAGTAAATGGCTGAGTAGGGATATTGAGGTGAACTACAGTTGGGTGAAGAGAAGCGCTAACTCAATGGCTGATGGGTTAGCAAAGAAAGGGGTGCTTAAGGGATCTATGTTTTGGGCTAATTTTTAGCTTTCTTCTTTGTTCCTTGTTGTGGGGGAGTTAAGATAGTTCACCTCTCCTTTCTTGTACTTAAAGTTTCACAAATATTATTATTTAATAGAGCATTTTGTTACTGATAAAAAAAAGGGACAATGGGGGAACTTGCTGATGTTGGCAATTCTATCGGAAGCTAGTGGTCCTGTTGGAAGGTTTAAAAGTTGCTGTTTCTCATGGCTGGACAGATCTACAGGTTGAAGGTGATTGTGAAATGATCACTGACTGGATGAGGCTTAGGCTTGGAGCTGAAGCCAATTGGACCTTTGGATTCTTATGGAGACAGACTATAGCTTTGTGCTATCCTAAACTGCTCATTAAGGTAGAGACCCAGAGCTGCTAACAGTCTGGCAGACTCACTTGCAAGTTGAAATCAATGGGGTTTCGAGTGATCAACTCTTTTGGGGATCACCTGTGCAGGGATCAACTTGTAAAGCGTTTTTAGTGAATTTGGGGTTGGGTCAGCATAGTTGGTTTCTGTATGTTGTAGTTATTTTTGATACTTTAGAAGCACATTTACATCATGGAAATTGCAGCTTAATTATTTTTTTTGATTTTGTTAGGGCCTAACTCTCCATTCGTAGAGTTTTTCGTAGGGAATTCGGTCTCTCCTTTTTGTATATAGACATTTTTGGGAACTTATAGAAGCTCTGTGGCTTTGATGTACAGAATCTCTTTGTAGTTTGTACAAAGCTAGTCATACTAACTGTTGGACAACAATGGATAGAATCTTTCTACAAAGGATGGATTTTATATGTTTTTTGATATCTAATACACCATAAGCTACACTTTTCAACAACAACAGCAACAATAAAATTGCAGCTTATCTTCCCACCAAATGACTGTATTCTAGTGGTGGTTCTTGAATTGCTTAATCACTTGTTGCAAAAAAGTTGAGCTGAGACTTTTGTAGCATTACTGTAGTGCAGAAGCACTGGATAACCACTTAATTGCTGTCCAAAGGGATCATGAACACAGATCCCAAATAGAAGAAAGGAGAATAAGAAATGATGCGGCTTTTGAAGAGGCCAAGAGAAAGGAAAAGGCTCTCCAAGAGGAAAAGCTGCGCCAAGAAAAAGCCAAAGCAGAAGCAGAGGTTAGTAATGGTGCCATTACTTTTAATTGATGCTTGCTTAGATTTTTTCCAATTCTCTCTACTATAGCCTCAACTGAATTTATTACTGCACCTATAAATTTAATCTTTCTTCATTTTCAACATGGGGATAATCATGTTGTAGAGAGACTGGGCCGAATGGGCCCTAGTGTCTATTTTATGTTTCAGTAGTAGGCTATTTATTTTGTATGCTAATGGGCTTGTCTTATGGGCCTGTTAACTTCTTTTTAAGTTATTTTAAGTTTATGCTTAGCTGGATGCCCCACTTAAGGGCTGATTTGTAATTAACCACATTAGTGAAGATTAATAAAAGGATTAGTGAGGGGAGAGATGTGATTGAACCCTCTTCTTCTTCTTCTTCTCCATCCCCTTCTTCTGTTCTGCTGTTTTCTTCGTCCTTTCTCACTTTTTTACTCCTTTAATCAAGTTTTTAATCAGATTTAGAAGTCAGATTTACTTCTTGGTATCAGAGCAAGTTTTCCCTCTTTTTTCTTTTCTCTTTTCCCATACACCCTTCGATTGGGAGTGTGTATGGAGAGATAATTTCCTGATAAATCAGAGAATATTTTTGCTTAGTTGGTAGAGTGTTTGGAGAGTTAGAATCTGGCTGAAAATTGGTAAGAAGTGGAGTTATAATTTTTTGCCTAAAACCCTAGTCGACTAGAGAGCTTTCAAGTTACAAGTCAAGGAGAAGATTTGAGTGTGGCGCCCAGGACTTGGGAGGTGTAGTTTGATCTCTAGAAGTGTGCGGCTGAGACTTGTAGGTGGTTTGGAAGCTTTGGTAGGATGGCTACCTCTTCTCTCTTCCTTCCTGACAGCTGGATGCAGTGACACCCTAGTTTTTAAGTCTCCAAGTACTGTATTGACCTCAGTTAAGTTTATATAAACTGAAAAACTGTTTTTTTTTTTTTTTTGATTTTTGTTTGATAAATGGAGCATTTCGGAAGTGAATTGAAGCATATGCTAGTATCTGTGGTTGGCCCGGTAGATTCCTTTTTGACTGGAGTGACCACAACCAAGCTAGATGACACCAATTATCTAGCATAGGCACAGTCTATACGGATTCGTGTCTGTAGTAGAGGTTGATAAAGTTCAGATCTGTAAACTTGTAGCCTTTAGATTAATCAAGGAAGAAAAAGAAAAAGAAGGAAGAAGAGAAAAGAGAGGAAAGAAAGAGGAAGAATGAGGGGAGAAAACCTGGTTTGAATTGAAGAGAAAAAAACTGTTCTCCTCATTCGGCCAGGGTGTATTAGCCTTTCTAATTTACATGGAAATGACCATTCTACCCTTATTTAGTCAACACTAACACCCCCCTCAAGCTGGAGAGTATATATCATTATAGTCCTAGCTTGTTACATATGTAATCCACTCTTGCCCGACTCAACCCTTTGGTGAATAGATCTGCCCATTGGCTTCCTGTGTTAACATAAGCAGTACTTATTACTCCACTAAGAACCTTCTCTCTCACAAAGTGACAATCAACTTCTATATGTTTTGTTCTCTCATGAAAGACTGGATTGGAGGAAATGTGGACAACAGCTTGGTTGTCACATTAAAGCTTCATCGGTGTACCAATTGAGTACCCCATCTCCTGTAGAAGGTTCTTCAACCACACCAGTTCATAGGTTGTATGTGCCATGGCTTTGTATTCAGCTTCTGCACTGCTTCTTGCCACCATTGTTTGTTTCCTTCTCTTCCATGTCACCAAGTTACCCCCAAGAAAGGTACAATAACCTGTAGTCGACCTCCTGTCAGATACAGAACCGGCCCAATCAACATCAGTGTACCCTTCTATCTCAATTTTTCCTCCACTCTTGTATAGCAAACCACGACTAGGAGCACCTTTCAAGTACCTTACAATTCTTAGAACTGCATTCCAATGAGGGATCCGAGGATTCTGCATAAACTGACTCACCACACCAACTACAAATGAAATATCTGGTTGAGTGATAGTTAGGTAGTTTAGCTTACCCACTAACCTTCTGTGCCTTCCTGGATCTTCAAACTCCTCACCCGTATCACTACTCAACTTAACATTCAATTCCATAGGTGTTTTAGCTGGTTTGGCACCCAACAAACCTGTCTCCTTCAGTAGATCAAGGACATACTTCCTCTGGCACAAATTAATACCTTGTTTGGACCTTGCAACCTCTTTCCCTAAGAAATATTTTAGTTTGCCAAGATCTTTTGTCTGAAAGTGATCAAGCAAAAAGATCTTCAACCTATCAATCCCAAACATGTCACTGCCAGTAATAACAATATCATCCACATATACCACCAACAAAATCTTCCCAGGATCAGAATCATAACTAAATGCAGAATGGTCGACTTGACACTGCTTCATGCCAAACTTTTTCACTACTTCACTGAACCTTCCAAACCATGCACGAGGAGACTGTTTAAGTCCATAAATGGCTTTCTTGATCTTGCACACTTTACCATCCTCCCCCTGAGCAACAAACCCGGGTGGTTGCTCCATATATACCTCCTCAAGAAGATCACCATGCAAGAAAGCATTTTTGATATCAAGATGAAACAACAACCAATCATACATAGCAGCAAGGGAGATCAAAACACGAACAAAACCAATCTTGGCAATAGGAGAGAAGGTCTCTGTGTAGTCAATACCATATAACTGTGAATAACCCTTGGCAACCAACCGAACTTTCAATCTCTCAACACTACCATCACGCAAATACTTGGTTGTGTAAACCCACTTACATCCTACAACATGCTTACCAGGGGGAAGAGTGGTGAGATCCCACGTATGATTATGAGCCGGAGTGGAGAGTTCGTCTTCCATTGCCTGATGCCGCCTCAGAGAGATAAGGGCTTCCTGGACATCCTTAGGAACAGAGCTAGAAGATAACAACAAAATGAACTGTCGATGGAAAGGAGAGAGGTGAGAAACAGAAACATAATTGGAGATAGGATGAAGGGTACAACTGTGTTTACCTTTTCGTAGGGCAATGGGAAGGTCAAGATTAGGCACTGGGTGTAAGGGTGCTGCGGAAACTACTGTTGGATCTATCGGTGAAGAAGCTGGAGGGGCCAGTGCATGTCGATGCGTATACATTTGATGGATAGGTGGTCGTGCAGGAGGAAGTGGCATCGGAGGCGAAGACTTAGTTGCAGCTAGAACAAGAGGAATGGGGTTCGGAACAGGATCTGGAAGCGAAAGGAGAGTGGAAGGAGAAGAGACATTTGACCTAGAAAAGAAAGGAACCCCTTCAAAGAAGGTTACATCGAGACACACAAAACAACGCCGAGAATTGGGACTGTAACATTTGTACCCTTTCTGGGTCCTAGAATAGCCAAGAAAGACACTTTGTAGATCGTGCATCCAACTTGTCTAGTCCAAGGCCAAAGTTATGAACAAAGCAAACACATCCAAAAACCCGAGGGGTAAGAGGAAAAGGGGACAATGTAGGAAACAAAACTGAGAAGGGAGACTGACCATCAAGGATGGACATAGGCATTCGGTTAATAAGAAAACAGGATGTAAGCACAACATCACTCCATAACCGTTTGGGAACATTCATTTGGTGCAACAGGGACCGAGTGGGTTCTAAGAGATGGTGGTTTTTCCTTTCAGCTACCTCGTTTTGTTGAGGGGTGTAAGAGCAAGAGGTTTGATGAATAATACCATGTTCTAAATATTGTTGAAATGGTGTATAAAAATATTCTCGGCCATTATCTGAATGTAGAATTTTAAGATGGACACCAAATTGAGTGCAACAGATTTCAGCTTGAAACTTTTGGAAAATAGAAAATAATTCACTTCTTTCTTTCATAAGATAAAGCCATGTCATCCTTGAATAATCATCAACAAAAATAACAAAGTATTTCTATCCATTGTGCGACACTATTTTATTTGGACCCCAAATGTCTGAATGGACCAAAGAAAAATGACTCAACAAACGACTCTCCACTTTAGGACTAAAGGAAACCCGATGATGTTTTCCATACTGACATGACTCACAATCTAAAGTAGAAAGACGACTGAATGATGGAACAAGTTGCTTAAGAGATTTAAGAGACAGATGGCCAAGTCTGCAATGCCACTAGAGAGGGGAGAGAGATGAACCACCACCTCTGGAGATGGATGACTGAAGAGTTGTTTGATGAACCACCACCACCACCACCATCAAGGTAATACAGTCCACCGGTTTCATGCCCTCCACCAATCTTCATCCCCGTCTTGAGATCCTGAAATACACAAGATGAAGAATAAAAAATGATAGAGCAATTAAGAGATTTGGTTAATTTACTAACGGACATAAGGTTAAAAGGAAATTTGGGAACATATAGAACTAAAGACAAAGATAGTGAACCAGTGTTAACATCACCAATACCACTTATGGGGGAAGTGGAACCATTAGCAAGGGTGACAGTATGGGTAGTAGAAGACGAAGAAAGTGAAGAGAGCACATCTGGAGTCCCAATCATATGATCGAAAGCTCCAGAATCAATGATCCAATGGGAGGGTTTGGATGCCAGACAAGCCATACTTGAGTGGGCAAGTGTAGCTGTACTCGACTGAGAAGTTGCCTGGATTAACCGCTCATATTTAGTACTTGAAATACTCATCATCTCTTGTCCAGAGGCATCTGTAGATGTAGGTGTCTGACTGGTCTGTTGATTCCCTTATTCCATACCACCACTAGCCACTGCATGATTTGCCCAAGATGAAGGTGGACGATGCAGATCATAGCAAAAATTAACAGTGTGTCCCTCCATACCACAATGCGTACACCTCCTCGGACCATTATTACGTCCTCTACCACGAGCTCCCCCTGAATCTCGGCCTCCAACATGCCCACCACGACCTTTTGACTCTGATGTGTCCACCTCTACTACCACGGCCTTTTGACTCTGATGAGCAACACCTCTACCACCACGACCTCCCCCCTTGTCACCGCAAAAGCAGACCTGTCCGGTGTGGTAGGGTTTTTCGGATGTCCAATGGAAGTCCTTCGGAG